TACCACTGAGAACAGTCCTTTTCTTGCAGAGTATCCTATACAGATTTCAATAGGATCATAATTGGGCTCCAAGATTGCCTCATAAAAACAGCCCAAGAACTAAAATGGGAAGAGAAGAGAAGAAACATTTCTAGGCTCTGTAGTCTAGTTAGAACTAAAAAATTCCTCTTATGAAGGTACTACACTGGCAAGTGAGCTGTTTTCTCACTTTTATATTATATTTATTTAAGTAGACAGCCCTCCCAACAACCAGCAAATCTCACTCAACAGTCTCCCTCTACTATGTATTCCATATTATTTATTTTCAGACTATGGCCTCAATGGCTACTTTATTCAGATCAGCAGAAACCAAAAAACAATGCTGAGCAAATAAAAATATACTGCTGTTTAACTCGTACGTCCCAATGCTGTTCATCTCTGTATTCATGGAGTTCTCCCGCAGTATACTCTTTCAAATCAACATTTTAAGAAATAAACCATAAGTGAACCACTAATGTCTAATTTAGATGAGTTGGCGCACTGTTGCTAAACACAAAAGCTGTAGATTTTATTCCCAATTATTCTTAATTTTTAGCAACGTGAGTAGAAAAGAAAGAAAAGATTTTCTTTTTTCCCCTCTTCATTTTATTTTTCAAGAACATTTGTGCCAAACTGTTTTTAAAAGCAAAAGCAAAAAAACAAAACAAATGTCATGCAAAGAAGTTTGAGTACAACTTATTCAGGGGACAGTTTCTTCATCTTATCTGCAAATCGTTAAAGAAAACAGTTGGGGATGACTGATTCCCGGGTACATAGTAGACCACGACTGCATACAATAAATCCTACAGCCAATTACCAGGACACAGTTACCTGCTTTTACAGTGCTATATAAGTGCAAATTATTATAAACCTGCCAGTTGCAAGTAAAATACTAGTCAACTTAGAACAAAACCACAGGTCTCCAGACACACTTGAATGACTGGGAGTACTAATATCATAACAGTACCTCTTATGTAGTGCTTATCATCAGTAGATGTGAAAGCATTAGCTAAGTCATTGCAGTTTGTTTCCCATATTTATATATAGCCAATTTTCATGCTTGTCCTGGAAGCTCCAAGTAGGGAGATGTAGCAAAAAATGACTGGATGAGGAACAGGTCACAGTGCCCCTAAAAGGCTCAGACAGTACCACATTCGAACAGCTGAGCCAGAGTAGTCCTGAGCCACACATTCCAAGCTTCAGGACTACAGAGTCGAACAACCGGTGTGTAATTCACTGCTCTAGAGAACACTCTGGGATACCACATACATGAAAAGGGCTACAGCATATGAGAACAATCCTGGTCTACATCATGCAACAGTTCTTTTGCACCAGTGAGAGATGTTAAGTATGAGACTGAAACAAAGAGTATTTTAGAATTCCTGATTACGGACGGAGGACAACAGACATGTTTTTCTTGTGTGTGTTAAAAATATTTTAACTGGAGCAGTTAGCATAAAAGATGACAAAGCAGAGGGAATCTGAAGTCTTCACACAAGAAAAAGACAAGCAATAAGGTCATAGTAATATCCCTTGAAAATCTGAATAAGGAGAGATGTTGAGAAGGTAGTTAGGTTTATACGTTTTGTTGCATGGTTTCCGAAGGGCAATTAGTCACATGCTCACATAAGCCAAGTTCTTCTGATTTCAACTCATGCTAAGAGGAGAAAAATGATAGTAAAAAGGTAACATTCCTAAGTACTGAGCAGCTCAAAAAAAAAAAAAAATACAGGGAGATCTTCAGACACCAGACCCATAAATGGACTGTGCTAGTTATAGTTGCTGGCATCACACATACTTTTTTAAAAAAACTAAACCAAATGTTCTAATAGGGAAGATAAATTAGATAAATTGTTACCCCTCTCATCTTCTTGCTGCGCTTGATGTTTCTGACAGGTGAGTCAGAGTGTGCTTTCCAAGCTCTCAGTCATGCCTATCTGAGGGTACATCAACACAGAAAAACAAAACCAAACCAAAAGCCCTATGGCAGCAAGTCTCAGAGCCAGGGAAAACTAATTTTGGTCCACACTGTGGGGCCACAAATAGCAGTGTACATGTTTGGGCTTGAGCTGGAGCCTGGGGTCTGAGATCCTCAGTGGTTTCGGCACTCCAGACCCAGCCTGAATGTCTACACTGCTATTTTTAGCTCTGCAATGCAAGCCCGAGTCAGTTGACCCCGGCTCTCAGACTTGCTGCCACAAGAGGTTGTGTTTTGTTTTGTTGGGCTGTGTAGATGTACTCTGAATAACCCCAAAGATAAATGCTAATTAATCTTTGGAAATAGACTTTATACCCAATCCACTAGAGAAAGAGAGAGACTTGCACATACTCCTGGCAGTAAGGCCTCAAATAAAGTTCTGTGATGGAGCCTTTGACAGAAAAGAACCTCCCTCTTTTCTAAATTCTGACATTTCTCTTTGCCTCTGCATCCCTAAATGATGTGCATTCTTGATTTTGTAAACAATCCACAATAGGATTTGGATATCAACGTATCCAAACTGCAAGTGATTAAGTATATATGGCTGTTATCTATGCATTAAGCCAAGGGAGATAAATCTTCTCTTTGATACAGAATAAAAAATGAAAATCTGCTGAAAATCCAATATCTACTACTTCAAGTTTTCAAGTCATTGATATACAATTTTTTCTGTTTTGAGAAATTGCACCGATTCCAGCAGTATTCCTCATTTGAAGTTTCAGCAGTATACGTGAGACTACTATAACAGAGATTTAGGGCCACTAAGTAGCCTCTATATCACACACAGCAATATATTTTCTAATACCTTCTGCATTAATAATTTTAATTAGCATCACATCACTCTGTAGGAAAACAATTTCTCCTCCACAAATAAGCACTGCTCACAGCATTTGAGCATTCTTTCTATGAATTAGGTGGAAGAGTATGTTCAAAATATTCAGTATTTGAATTGTTTTATGTATATTTGGGAATGCAGTCTCTATACAATCAGTGGAAATACCATGATATATATCACAAATTCTCACAAGTTTTTGAGAGGTTCATATTTTTCTTTTATAAAATATGATCACAAGATATGATATATTCTGGTAAGTTTTATAACACCTATTTAATCCACCACTTTTTTTCCTCAAGAGTTTAAGGGGGAAAAAAACAAACCCAAACCACTATTCATATATGCTTTCTGCTCTACCATCATGGAGCCAATAGATGAAAGACGAATTACCCAACAAATCCTATTCCATCAGCTGTGCAAACACCGAAGCAATTGGTGAATGTAAATATTCTAGCAACTTTATCCACCACCGTTACAGGCTTAAATATAAAATGATGTTATTAAAAGCGTGATTGCAGCCTTAACTAAATATTACTCTGGCAGTGTTTTTCTTCCATAATTGACACTTCAGAGCCTGCAGAAGTCAAATGTTTTCTTTATGAAAACTCTAGTAGACTTGGACATATCCAAGAAAAACCAAGTGTACAGCATTCAGTTTGAACTTAAAAAAAAAGAATCTTACCATTAGATTCAAAGCAAGTTACAATTACACATATACATACACATACACATACACACACACACACACAGAACTTGTAAAATGATATTTGAAAAGCACTTAATTGTAAAACTCTTTCACATTACTAAATAATCTACTCCTAATTTACTATTTAGCAAGAATATGAAGTGGTATCCTTACACATTTATATTTTTACATATGTTGCTCATGCATATTTAGGTCATCAGCGTGCTTGTTTACTGTAACTATTGCAGGAAAAGCATGTGGAATTGAGGATCTCTTGGCTTAAAAATAGAGGACTTTAACAGACCATACGCATAACAAGGCATCGTTTCAGCGCAAAGGGTTAACACTGAAGCTGCAACAGATGGATGAAAATTTCAAAGTGCAAATTGCACAGAGGGGGTAGGATTGCCACCAGGTAAGGACAGGCAGAAGTATCACCACTGCCATCCGACAGGCATTCTTCCCAGGGGAGAGCAGCTTTAAATTCTGGGCAGGACACCACAGGAGTCGTACAGGTGGAGGATACTAAAGAGATGGGCTGAACTGACATATGTTGTGTTTGCCCTGCCCCTGCCCTGGTCAGCTTTTCACATTTTATGAGCTGTACTAGCTAGTTCCAGGCCCCCAAATGTCGCAGCAGTTTGTGGACATCTTGTGCCAGTGTGTTTGTCTAGCTTCAGGTAGACTTTCCATTTCTTGGAACTCACATCCTGGGTCCTTCCAGCTTCTGCTGGTGGAAGCCAGGGAGAGAATCAGGCTCTGTGTGTGTACAATTAGTTAACATGAAAAAGGAACCATGAAAAATAGAGCATATTATGCTTCATCAAGGCAAAACAATTAGCTACCTATATTGTAATACTAATGTAGCTCAATTAATAATGCAATTCTGGCCCCTACATTTTCAAAGTGGGGTGCAGGAATTTAGTCACCAGATTCTCATTGGCTTAACACAGGGGTTAAGCTACAGCTTGTGGGCCAGATCCGGGCCACTGCTTCATTTCATCCGGCCCTCAGCAAGTCTCTATGCTGCCAGACCTCGCCGCTCCCCCTGGCGGGGCTGGAGCCGCAAGCAAACATCCTCCCAGACCGTGCTCCCCAACCCCTTGCTCCAGCCCTGAGCCTGCTCCCGCACTCCAAACCCCTCATCCCCAGCCCCACCCCAGAGCCCACAACCCCAGCCGGAGCCCTCACCCCCTCCCGCACCCCAACCTCCTGCACCAGCCCGGAGCCCCCTCCCATATCCTGAGCCCCTCGTTTCTAGCCCCACCCCAGAGCCTCAGGGAAGCCCCATCACCTCCCCTCACATTGCGGGGCTGTGTGTGGCCAGCAACTGATTTTTCCTGTGGGCCAGTAGCCCGATAGAAAAAAGGTTCCCCAGCCCAGATCTAAAGTGTACCTAGAAGGCTCATTAGAGAAACACTGTTGTTATGGACTGTGAACCCAAACAAAGAACGGAACTTAATAGAAGAAGAGTTGATACTTACTCCTTATTCCTGTTTTTAATGCAGGGATGATAAAGAACTTTAACTGCATTCCATGTGCCTGAAGACCTGGAATCAGGCCTCAAATTATCTTCAAAAAATGTAAAAACACTGCTGGATGCTGAATTTCCCATAGATTCCACCAATAAAGTGTCAGAATTTAAAAGCCACATCTGTGGATAGACAATAGTTTATTTATAGAATACACCAGCAGCTTGAACTTGTTCTGTTACTCCGGATTTAAACCTGACCTGCTATGAGTAGGTGACATTAGGCCACATAAATCATGAAGCCTGATGTTTACTAGAGCATGACAATTTAAAACTATATTCTAACAAATCTTTAATGGATGTGAATTAGCATGTTATGTTAAATAATCTTAAGTGTTCAAAGTGGTGTAAGCTCCAGTGGAGATAAATCAAGGGATGTATAAATGATGCAGAATTTCTTGTGATCCATGTTAGGAGCAACAGAACTGTGAATCTGCATTTCCTTTGTGGCAGTAGCATGTTCCCTCTGCTAGAAAAAAAAACAGCCAGCAAAACACTATTGCTCCAGTAGCTAATGGATGATTTTTCTAATTTTATATTTCAGTGATGTGTCAAGCAAATGGTGCTGAAACAGTCAAGTCCTGAAGACAGGATGGCAGTTGAGAGATTTCCCACTGGAAAAGCCAAGGAATGAGAGGCAGCGAGAGTATTTAAAACAGATTGGATAGAGCTAAAACAAACAGAGAGGGAATGCGCAGTACATTAGAGTTTACTAACGATGAGACAGGCCTAATTAACAAGAGTGGCAAAGGCTCTAGCCAACACTTATTTGGAAAATAAAACTAATAAAAAGAGCTGATAATGGGAATCAGGTTTCTCCATACTAATTGCTGGCACAAAAGTGCTAGAAGTCTATATTAAAGGAAAGTTTTGAGAAATCTCAATTCTTTTCACTGTATTATTATTATTATTATTAATCCAATCACTGAATGTTTGTGTTGTGTTACCCCAAGGCCCCAAACAAGATAAAGCACTGTTGTGCTAGGCACAGTACAAAACCATTCCTGTCTCTCCCCTTTTCTTCATTTATTCACTTGGCTGTGGTAGTAGAGAAACATGAGTTGCCAAAATCGAATTATCTTTCACAAGTGAGCTAATAGAATTTTTTCGCTCTCTTTGAGCATATTATTTCAGTTTGCTTTGTATGTCACTCATTAAACGTATTACTTTGTACTGTCCCAATTCCAATTCTTTTTCCCCAAAGACCTAGCTGCTCTTTGAATTGGCAGGCAAGTTTAATAGGATTCTTTTCTTAGCTGCTTTTAACATTCACTTTGATGTATCTTTGGACTGTTATAAACAGTATCTAGTGCACTTATAAAAGTAGGAATAAAGTGCTGCTATTGGTTAGTTCGTGCTAGCCTTTTGCTTTTGGAGACCTGGGTGACCTTAGATTAAGACAAGTTAAATTAAGTTTGGTGATAGACTTATTGCAGCCCCTGCTAACAGGTTTGTTCACATCAGATAACACTTACTATTTGATATAACTGATCACAACTATTGCAGGTTGTCAGAAGCCCAGTATTAGAAAACCGTAGCAAGGCTTTTGCAAAGAAGGAATGAGACACTCTCAAAGATGTCTCAGGAGGAGACAGGGAAAGAGGAGACATGCGTTATACACTAGTTAATTGTACTGAGTTTTGCTCTAGGAAGGATGTGGACAAATTGGAGAGAATCCAAAGAAGAGCAACAAAAATGATTAAAGGTCTAGAAAACATGACCTATGAGGGAAGACTGAAAAAACTGGGTTTGTTTAGTCTGGAAAAGACTAAGACTAAGACAACACATGATAACAGTTTTCAAATACGTAAAAGGTTACTACAAGGAGGAGGGAGAAAAATTGTTTTTCTTAACCTCTGAGGATAGGACAAGAAGCAATGGGCTTAAATTGCAGCAAGGGCTGCTTAGGCTGGACATTAGGAAAAACTTCCTAACTGTTAGGTGGTTAAGCACTGGAATAAATTGCTTAGGCAGGTTGTGGAATCTCCACCTTTGGAGATTTTAAGAGCAGGTTAGACAAACACCTGTCAGGGATGGTCTAGATATTCGTCCTGCTATGAGTAAAGGGGACTGGACTAGATGACCTCTTGAAGTCCCTTCCAGTTCTATGATTCTATGATAATAGAAGTCCCTTACTCACAAATACCAAAACTCACCACATATGTTCTCCCTTCCCCTTTTAGAGTCCTTCTAGAATCTTCAGAAAATTACTCCTGGGGGAATTCTGTGCCACTGCGCAAGCACAGAATTCCTATCTCCTGCAGACAGGCATTTTGAAATAAATTACCAAAATAATTGAAACTGGCATGATTATATTGTGTTATTTTGACAAATAAAATATGCAGAATTTTGCAAAATGTTAAAAGATTGTGCACAGGTTTTTAAATTTTTTGGCACAGAATTACCCCAGGAGTAGAAAGCGAATAGCATCCTTCACTCTAATCTTAGAGGATACACCGTCAACATATGTCTACTCCTTTCACAGTTTCTTTTGCACCCTCTTTAGAGATTACTAATCAGTTTCACTTGGCAGCTGGATCCATCTGGATCCATCTTGGCAGCTTCTGTTTACACATTGTAATACTGTGGGACAGAAGCCACAGATTACAACCACTTTGTCAAACCATGTCTCATGTTAGCAAAGATCAAACAGATTTGTATTGATGTTTGAGTATGCATTATATAGCAGAAATCTGAGACTGTTGGAGGAAAGGCACTATTGGTTATGTGAGAAATTTCTGCATCTTCTAAGCCTGTCAGTTTCTGAACTTATTTATTTTCTTTCAGCATTTTCCTTTTCCCCAGTATTAATTATTTTATTTCTGACCTGATTGTTGACCTGTATGAACAGTCCCAAATTCAGTCTCAGTGTTCTGATACTAAGCATTTATGCATGTTACTTCTGGCTAATATATTTGTAAATTTCAATCTGAGCTTTCAGCTATTTTATGGATACTACATAGATTTTTCTCTTCTCCATGCAGTATCTGGATTCCCAAATTTCCTTGAATTTAACACTTGGTAAGAAAAAAACTGCTACAGCAATACTTAAAAAATAAAGTAAATTTAGAACTTATCAACAGTGTCAATTTGAGAGCCCTGGAAAGCAACATACTCTGTACTAACAGAACGGTTACACGTTGTGTAATAAAAACCTAAGAAAAAACAGTGCTAGCTTCCACATACAGTCCTGCTACTGTGCCACAAGCATGACACAGAGGGACCACCATTTGGGTCGGTAAGGTAAGTCAACTTCTATGCCCATTCAGTCTCACTACTCTGCTCAAAATGACAGCAAGGATGCAAATTAGAGCCAATTACGTGATTTGTATAACAAAGACATTTATCCTGTAGGAATTGGATTGACTCATTTCACATAGACCGATGGACTTAGATATGAAAGAAATAGGTGCCTCAGAAATATGTAACATAAAGAGAAGTGTTACAAGAACTTGCAGTGACTCCTAGACTGTGTGATGCTGTATAGAATATGTGAGACACTGTATTATATGGATACCAATATTATAAAATTGTGGGGGGGGTGAGAAAACCTGTATTTGTGCTGGAAATGGCCCACCTTGATTTTCATACACATTGTGAGGAGAGTGGTCACTTTGGATAAGCTATTACCAGCAGGAGAGTGAGTTTGTGTGTGTGGTTTTTGGAGGGGGGTGGGGGGGTGAGAAAACCTGGATTTGTGCTGGAAATGGCCCACCTTGATTATCATACACATTTTAAAGAGAGTGGTCACTTTGGATGGGCTATTACCAGCAGGAGAGTGAGTTTGTGTGTGTGTGTGGGGGGGGGGGGGGCGGAGGGTGAGAAAACCTGGATTTGTGCTGGAAATGGCCCAACTTGATGATCACTTTAGATAAGCTATTACCAGCAGGAGAGTGGGGTGGGAGGAGGTATTGTTTCATGGTCTCTGTGTATATAATATCTTCTGAAGTTTCCACGGTATGAATCCGATGAAGTGAGCTGTAGCTCACGAAAGCTCATGCTCAAATAAATTGGTTAGTCTCTAAGGTGCCACAAGTACTCCTTTTCTTTTTATAAAATTGTAATAAGTCTTACCACATATGTAGGGCCCTACCAAATTCACAGTCCATTTTGGTCAATTTCATGGTCTTGGGATTTTAAAAATTGCAAATTTTATCATTTCAGCTATTTAAATCTGATATGTCATGGTGTTGTAATTGTAGGGATCTTGACCCAAAAAGGAGTTGGCGGGGGGGGGAGGGGGGGTCCGCAAGGCTATTGTAATGGGGATTGTAGTACTGCTACCCTTACTTCTGTGCTGGTGCTGGAGGGGCACTGCCTTCAGAGCTGGGCATCTGACCAACAGCCGCCGCTCTTCAGCTGCCTAGCTCTGAAGGCAGCACAGAAGTAAGGGCAGCAATACAGCGACCCCCTCCCCCAAACTCCCTATTGGGTCAGGACCCCCAATTTGAAAAACACCGGTCTCCCCCATGAAATCTGTATAGTATAGGGTAAAAGCACACAAAAGACCAGCTTTCACAGTCTGTGACGCTTTTTTCACAGCCGCGAATTTAGTACGGCCCTACAGATATGCCATGGAAGGTTTCAGTGGAAAAGTTATAATTCGTTAAATATGATAATCACGTTTATATGTAAGTATCATCCTTGTATAGAGTAATAAATATGTATGGTATATTTGCATTTCAAATTTGTGCTGTGCTTCCGGGTAACACCTGCTCCCCCCCATAGATTGGCATCAGCACTATCCAGCCTGCCTGATCGCTTATCAAAGGCAATCACAAAAACAATGAACCCATTGAGAGAAGGCAGAGGTTACACCTATGAGTCAGCAGGACATGTAGGGACATTCCGGTGGACAGGGGGCTCTGCTTTTCCATACCCATGTGCTGTACGTTTGTGTTTGGGACAAAGGACGTCCAAGCCACATAGCAAAGGATATAAAAAGGCAGCTGCATCTTCTCCATTTTGTTTTCAATCCTGCTTCCTACCTCTGGAGTAACTTTTCTACAGACTGAAGCTTTGAACAAAGAACTGAATGGCCCATCCAAGCTGTGGATGTGTTCCAGAGGGACTTTCCAGCCAGCAAATTCACCAATACAGCTCCGAACCTGAGATCTGGACTTTGAAGTCTTATGTATGTATCTGACCATTTAGGGTTTTGTTATCCCAAAATGTATTCATAACCTTTACTCGTGTGCGATATTTATTTGCCAATTCAGTCCAAGACAGTGAAACTTTAAATGCTTGGGGGGCTCCACTATCACTGCTTTAAAATCAAACCTTGCTGAGCCAGCGTATTATGCTTACTTAGAATCTGTCTTTGTTAACGCCTGTAATGCTGTTAATTGGCAATTTGTTTTTATTTGTAACCACTTTGCAATGCAGCATGCATACTGACACTGTACAAATAGCCTTTTGTACACAAAATTCTTTTGTACAAAGAAATTGCAAAAAAATCTGCTGGACCTTTCCTAGTGATTAAAGCCCACCCACCCCCCGCAAAACTGAGCACTTGAAGTTGAGCCAAAACCTTAAATGTTCAACATTTTCTTGGTGTAGACAGCTGTGTGGCATATCTATGGTACTCTTCCTAAAAACAAATGCTTTTTTTTAAATAAAAAAAGGTTTCTGCATTTAAAAGTAATTGTGCCAATTAATGGGGAAAATATTGGTACCCAGTGATTTCTTGTCTAGCACTGAACTCTTCCCCAGTTTGAGGCACTGGCTCCTTCCTGAAAATACTAGAGACAGTTCAGACTTCTCCACAAGGCTCCAAAGTCTGACTATGAATCTTGCATGAGAGGAATGCTTACAAAACTATACTGAAACATTTAATTCTTATTGCTCAATAAATGTAAATTCGGAATAGCAACGTCTTATTCAGTTGTGTTAATTAGGTAAATGGACCTTGGTTGGGTGTGGTAGAAAAAGAGGCTGGTCGTAGAAAGACAATTAGGTAAACAAGTATCCTTTGGATCCTCATCTTATCCACAATCCAAGATATTTGGTACACAGTGAGCAAGAAGCGAAAAATTAGTAGGGAAGGAGAAAGAAGCAGAACAGAACCTGTTTGGATGAGGATACAATGTCATGAGTCCAAAAAACTTAGATCTCCAGTAATATGACAAATTAAAGTTGGTAATGAAGATATGCCTGGTTAGCCTGATCATACCAGAAGGACTTGATTCAGTGTACAAGTATTTATATGGGAACAAATATTTAATAATGGGCTCTTCAATCTAGCAGAGAAAGGTATAATAAGATCCCATGTCTGGAAGTTGAAGCTAGACAAATTCAGACTGGAAATAAGGTGTGAATTTTTAACAGTGAGAGTAATTAACCATTGGAACAATATACCAACAATCGTGGTGGATTCTCCATCAGTAACCATTTTAAAATCAAGATTGAATGTTTTTCTAAAAGATCTGCTCTAGGAATAATTTTGGGTAAGTTCTATGGCCTGCATCATTCAGGAGGTCAGACTAGACAATCCCAACTACCCCTTCTGTAATCTATGATCTACACATTCCACAAGGCTAGCACAAAATCAGCAGGGACAAGGAGTTGAGTTCCTCGTCCTCTATTATGCAAACATTTCTGAAATACAAGAATGCATCATTGAGAGAGCCCAGATCCTCTCTTTCTGAAAAAGGGGGTAAAAGAAAGATTGCCATACTTCTTGACAATGCACCATCAGCTATTTAAAGACATGGGAGAGTACCCTAGGCTTTCTGCCTTTTTAAGTGGTTTTAGGGCAATTTTTGAGCTCAGCCCTGGAGAATCCCCCATTGGTGAAGTTGGTTTGGCCCAAGTTGCGTCCCAAGTGTTGAAGAGAACTGAACAGCTCTTGTAAAGGTGTCACCAGAGAAGTCTTGATTAGCATTGGAGGATACAGAGATCCCAAAGCACTACCTATTTCCCTGAGAAGCGAAGAGTCCACTGACTGAACAGCTGCGGCAGACCTCCTCACCTGTGGCTTTTAAGAGGGCCTCCTCATAATGGGAGCACCTCCAGGCTTTCTGTCTTCTATTAGTGTGGCATGCTGCACCACAACGAGGATAGGGTGAGTGGAGACAAGATGGTCAGCAGCTGGTTCTGTTCGGGGTCACAGCTCCATAAATTTTGGGCCCCTCTGGGGAAAAGAAATGGAGGGAAATGATTCTGGCAGTGCTCGTTGAAGTTAAGAGTTAAAAGATAGGATGGCAGAGGATAAGGCAGAACACTGAACTGCTACTCTGTTTGATCTACCAGAAACAGGATTAATTGGGATGAGGACAGAAGGGATGTGCCCACATCCCAGAGGTCCCTGGACAAGTCTGAGCTATTTCCAACGTTTCCAGGAAGAGGGGTGCAGCCCAAGTGTATCAGATATAAGGCTCCAGAATATTTTTTTAATTTCCTCAGTCATAGAAATATTGTAAACAGACAAGACTACATACTTCTATGTAAACAGCATAGCTGTGTACAGTACTTTGGACTAACTGCTTGAGACTTCAGTGAGCTTTTAGTCTAAAAAATTCAAGTGGGTTCTTAACTTCCATTGCAAACTAAAAACTAAACTAAAAAGAAAAAACAAAGGAGAGTCAAAGGCAGGCAGGCAGACAGGCACAACTGATACATTTGAACGATCAACTCCTTTTTCTCATTTCCCTTACACACATAAGTAAGCACATAATAACCAATGAATAAATGTCAGGAGTTCACGCTCATGAATATATTTCTATACAATTATAAGAAAATGCCATACCAAGATGTAGACTTTTCCATCATGTCCTTGTATTCTGAATCTAAATGTGCTTCTGGCAGAGGACAGATCCACGAGACACTGAGCTATAATGCTCTGTACAAACTGAGACCTGTTTTAAAATAAATCAGTCTTCACAGAATGTTTTCATAGTAACTATATTTTACAAAACTAGCCATTGATACCCAGTGAGCCCCTAGCAAACTTTAAACATATAGCATATAGGTTTCTCCATGCTGTCAATTCCACTACAGTGTGGCATGGAAATAATGCCCCTAGACTTAAGTCATTACTGTACGGAGATAGAGCTTCTCTCTCTTCACCTCCATCTTTCCTATCTTCCCGTAACAAGAATTGGAGTATTTTCCCTTTTCTGCATAATAAAAATTGCCATACTTGAGTAGACTAATGATCCATATGGTCAAATGTCCTGTATCTGACACAGTCCAATGCCAAATGCTGCAGATAAAGGCATAAATACTGCACTTTATGCACTATGTGTACATACAACATACAAGTGAATAATGATGTACATATTTGAAATATCTTTGAGTTTGCAGAATGGAACAGTAACTCTCTTCACAGCAGACTATATTTTATGGTAACCTCAACATAAACTGGATTGTCTGAAAATAAAAATAAAAAAAAATGGAAAGTACAAGTATTAGCTGAAATTAAAGGTTACACAGACAGGACAGAAAAAGTGTGATTTAGATTGTCAGATACCACCTTGTAATTAGCAATTATATGAAAGCATAGCATAAATTTAGCAAAGTAACGAAGTTTGCATATTTAGTCACCGAAAGTCAAACAATGTAAAAAAGGTTAAGGTTCCAACTACAAAGTTATTTTGGCTTTCTGTAATGCCATCTGTACTTTATGGTATACAGTTTACCACAAACAGTAATATATAAAGCTATGCCTTTAATTAGAAAAGAGTTCACAAGATACAGCAGGTATAGTATATGGCTGAGTTAAGAGTGCTTTTGCATTTCCTAACTTTGCTATTTTAATAGTGCATAATATTTAATTAAATACCAAAAAAGTAACTATCCAAAAAGTTTAAGCTTTACCACTCAACAACATTGTTCCAATAACCAAACTGAATACATTATCTGATTTTTATACCTTGGTATCATGTCAAAATGTTTTCCAGATGGCTGAATAATCATCTCAGTGATGTAATATTTTGTAGTCCCTAAAAATCAGACAAAAGGAAATTTTTTAAAACTCAATGAACCAGTACATTTATTTTCTACAGTAATATACTGCATCACCACATTCACTAAATTGTAGATCAGCATCCAATTAAACGGTGGAAGAGATGTCCAAATTCTTATTTTGACATGTAAGAGGAGAAGCTGGGTAACTGGTAAAGAAATCAGACATGGCCAGAAGGAAATATCTCTTTAGCTCTTTTTGGAGCTAATCACAAGATCAATATTTTGCCATCTGTATCATTCCCTACTTCACATCAAGCAGAACAACCATTTCCCCCTATACCCCATATAAATCCAGAGTAGGCAGGAGCCAAAACCCCTGTAGTGATCATTTTAAAAACATGTAATGTATTTATATGTTTGCTGATACCAATTAAAAACTCTTGTCCATTATTTATTATTTCTGCGCCAACCCTGAACAAGAAATGAAAAACACTTAACGGACTGAAATCAGTTCAACTTATGTCAGTACTTCAGTATACTCTACCAGCCAATGATTTCCCAGTGAACAACACACACAGGGCTCTAACAAGAGTAAACTCAGGGGACTAATTCTCTTCTTTCTTCAAAAAGAGTGGAAACAATACTTCTCTATAACAAAGTTAGGCTACCTCAGGACACTGGCCCTTTCTGTATTGATACATACAGGACCCACACCTAAAGTGCAGACATTTAAAAAAAGTCAGAAGAGGAATTGCTTCAGCTTTACAGACATAGCTGCTTCCATCGAGGTCATCTTTTTCTTTTAAAATATTTTTGTAGGTATAAAAGAAAAAATATTTTATTTATAATATAAACACAGATTGTATTTTACAAGCTATTTATAGGTTGCTAGATAAGTGTATTTATTAAGTACCTAATTCCATAAACATAAACAAAGATAATATAATGTTTTAAATGGGGAGATAGAAAAACCTTTTTCTCCCCACAGTTGCATCATATACACTTTTGTACACAAGCAGCTAGTACAATATGGCTAGTTCCCAGTACAAAAACAAGTACACAAACTGTAGCATTGCTATAAATCTGTGAGCAGATATTGCAAATCTGGGGTTTCTTGCAGGTAGATGCATGAATATCCGGAGCAGAGTTATTCTGCATGAGTATCAGTGTCCCAGTTCAGTGCCTTTGTTTGTCTTTGAATGCTAGGGACTAAAACCTAAAGACTTCTCTCTGGTCTTAGGACATTGGGATTTGAGCAGAAGTGTGTTTCTTCTATTGTCTGGAGCAACAAATCACAATTTTGGGATTCTCTTTCATTAGAATTAATCTGGTAATACACTTCCTTGTGGCTATTAATAGTCTGAATTAGCATCGTTATTTGTTATGAAGGTTTGAGGAGAGTCCCTTAGAACCTTTTGCTTATACCAAAGTGTACGTCAAAAGTTCCATGTAAGCTTTTATGCTTGTGGGACTAGACTATTCAGGTATACAGGCAGTCCCAGAACGAGTGTGCGCGTGCCTGGTGAATCATTTGCTCATATCCTTTTTAGCAGAAATTGCGGCTGAAAAAGTTCATGTTGTTGGCGAATACAGAGATGTAGAAGTAGTGCATGACTTGTTTATTTCAGCATCTTTCAGCACTGCTTAGTGTTTAGCAATTAGCACTGTAGGTCTGACCACCTGAGCCTATGCAGTGTATCTTGAAAGTTAGACACTGGTAGCTGTATGTCTGCTCAGGCAGCTGGTGTGGAGACAGTAGTAAAGAGAGATAAAAATTCATATTTCTAAAATCAGATTTTTGGAATTTGTATGGTTGTGCTATTTGTTCAAACGATTTCAGGTCTGAGAATTATGTAAGCTGATCTAAGGAAGTCACTTTATTTTCTCGCCACCAAGTGATTTTTTCATAGAAAAGGTAAAGGGCAAAGTCTGGGATTTTTGGCATATATATTAGATGAGCCCCTCCCAATCATTTCCCCATGCACTGAAGCACAAGAAGTGCCAGAGCAGCAGCACTCCATGATGCACTAGTTTGGTTAGAAATTCCTGTGCAGGCTCTTCAGATCATAGCTAGCCCTTTTCTGCAGCAGAAACAGGGCCAGAGCCTCTGTTGGTCTGCGTCTGTTGTCTCTTGTCTCAGACTGAAGTTCTTTGGGGTATGGACCATCATTTGTTCTGTGTTTGTACAGCTCCTAACACAGTGGGGACCCGGTTCGCTACCAGGCTCCTGGCACTATGAACAACAAACAATACTTATTTATGGCTCTGTTCCCTGCATTCCCCCCGACTGCGGCCTCAGAGATGGGGAGGCTTTCTCTGGGCCAGCAGTGAGCACTCAGCCTCCTTGTGGGCTTAAGAAGGGCATGGTTGCTGACTGATTAGACAGAAGGATTCGACATAAGCCTATCGGCTCCTGCACACACCTGGGAAGCACTTATAAACCCTTGCCCTTGCTCTGGGGCACCATTCTGCTCTAAGAAGAAAAGCTTCCCCTTCCCTGACCCAGGATTAGAGCAGGACCAGGTGTTGGGCCTTGATCTGGGCATCATGCTAGTCACCTTTTTGGGGCAGGGAAGGAATTTTCTCTCACTGTCAGACTGGCCTGCGCAATGTGGGTTTTTTCATCTTCCTCTTAGAAGCCCCAGGATCTAGAAGGTAAGTGAGGTTGTAAAATTCATTTTGTCACAACTTGGCAGGTGTCCACTACAGGTACTCAGTCAATAGGATGTCTGGCTCCCTGATGAACCAGAACTGGAAGCAGATTAGAAGGTATCTCCTAAAGAAGGTGGGTAACAGGGCTGGGGCTTCCAATGTCTTGCACAGTGAGGAGACAACCACCTCTTCCCCAACCCTTTAACTCTTGTACTGGGGGGGGAGGTGTCGGTAGCTGTGGGGTCCAAGCAATTGTGCTGGGACTAACAGGGTGAAGGGCTGACGGTAGTCCTCTAGGAGGTGGAATGAAGGAGAGAGGGTGCTGAAGCAGCTCTTCACCAGGATTACATGGATGGATGATCTCCACTGGCCAAATAGTTATTGCCAAATAGTTCCCAGATGTGTTACTTAATAAAAGTTGTGGCCTAGTTAAACCACATTTCTAATTAAACCACATTCTAGTCTTTCTTTCAGTGTTGACTGGGATTTGCAATCCAATTGACTGAGACTTAAAACAGTTTTTAACCAATGTTGTTATCCATATTGTCATGGGTGCCAATCAAATGACCGTATGACCTAAAACAGAGCCTCATCACAGAACCAGTGTGATGCAGTAGCACATTTAGCATAGACAGGTCTCAAATACAGAGCCTACTTATTCTACATTTAGTGCAGCACTGACATTTCTTTCCTTTTTACATTTGTCAGTCCCGTTGTAGGAAACAAAAAGCTTAGTGAAAATAATAAATAACCACTCTGCCAAACACTCCCCAGGACACCAGGAGATCGGCCCAACAATTTAGAAAGTAAAATTTTAAAGTAAATGTCAGGCACAAAAACTGAAAGCAGAGGAAAGTTTTATTTTACATTTACCCCAGGTGGTAGCCACCGGATTTTTACTAGTGGTGAGAGAAATTTGATTGAACTAAAACAGAAGACTCAGAGAGCAATTAAAGCTGCCAAGCACTTAGGACAAACATATTTTACAAGGTATAAGAGAGCGTGTAGATTGCACTAGTTTAAACTTCTAGTTAAAACTAGTGCCCCTGCACTAAAAGTGTCCAGTGGGCAGTTATGCCCTCACTCCATAGAGTGCAGCAGTGTAAAGGTTTAATTAATATACTGAAAATAGGAAAAATTTAAAATTAAAAAAGAAACAACAGGTAAGGATTAAAAACCAAAGTAACAAAAACAGCGGCAGTTAACGTAACAAAAATCAGAACTAACTATGTCTAGGTAACGCCTATCTATCTATAAAAATGAACATTTATAATTATTTAATGGAACTGACAGCCTTCACCCTGACCACACTGTTTATATGACAAGTCCTTTTCTCCCACCCTTTTATCTGTCTTTGTCTGTATAGATTTTTAAGCTCTTTGGGACTGAGGGACCTTATCTTCCTATAGATCTGTACAGCATCTTGCACATTTTGTATTCTTTATAAAATATAATGTAATATAAATAAATAATTCATACCACTCCCAGGCAATAAAATTACAGATCTATAGATATACATACCAGTATTAACAGAGTCTGGACACACACATTATGTACTCCTATTTTACAATATGTTTTTCAAGCATGCATATAAATTACTCCTCTGTACATTAAAATATTGTCTACAAGACTATTAACTTGAACATTTAGTCTATATTTTTAAATACACTAAGATCAAACACCACAGTACTTCAATGTTCATTTCTTGTAGATTGATCAATTAAGGTGACTAACAAATTTCAAATGAATCAACTTCAAAGTTTTTGCCAACTTTTGAGCTATGAGACTTTATAGCCTTCTCTTCTGTATTAGTTATAGTTGATAGGAAGTAGATTTTTCTTTGAAGAAATTAACGTTTGCACATGATTGATAAAAAGTTTATTCTACCTTATTTTGTTTAGAGGGGCTATTTACGAAAGACTAACTGCATACCTGAGCTTATATTAGTTATGTAGTTCAGACCTAATCTATACACTAAACAAAATTTACTAAGGTACACAAAGTATACATTCCACTATTAATTGCAAATGGGTCCATGATACTCGAGGTACACATCTTTTTAAAACTAAATCTAAATGCTTGTGTTATATTTAAATCTCTACCCATTATTTCAGCTCAGAGTTGTTCATATCACAACTCTGGGTCTATGCTACAAATCCACTTTATAACAGAACAAGCAGCATGGTTCAAACATATAAAAAGGAATACATTCATTTTGCTAAGTGTTAAAATACAGAGAACAATATGGCCAGATGCACTACATAAACAAGAATCAAAATAAATTACTGGGGCCAATAACCTCATAGTTTTGACAGTGGAAACAATCTCACCCTTTCAGAAGTGAAGAACCACCCCCCACAGGAATCAACTCAGCATCCTATTGATAAATTATTTTTCTCCAGAAGTTTTAACCTCTAGTGTTTAGTGAGTGAGCCAACCAAGTATCGTTTTGTTTGTGTAATCCATACCTGATGATACGGTCTCTCCCAGCATTGCCTTGCAGCGCTTACAAATTACTCTAGCATTTTCCTTTGATTTCTGTAGGACAAGAAAAATGTCATTTAAATGCCATTCAACTCTTCTGAAAAAGAATGTATAATTTTAAAATAGTCTCCAGAGTGCATATTGAACTTTATACTTCACTCCTCAGAATGTTTATGTACATACAGATGTGTCTTGACTATTTCATTCACTGCAGCCTTCTAAATTTTCTGAGTTACTAAGAAGTTGTGTGTTTGATTTAAATCTTCCACTACCCTTACGACACTGTACAAGTTAAACCCAGAGTTCGTATTTAAATTGAATATTGTTTAAAAGATATAACTGAGCTCAACACTTACCTTCATTCATACTATCTCATTAGCAAGATTTATGCATCTAGTATCTACACAATCAGCATTATACCTGTTCATCTGGGGTATACGTGCAGCAAATATGTTTCACATAGGCATTTGTCTAGGCTTAGAAAAGTTTGAAAAAGAAAACTTTCAACTTGAAAAATCATATTGAAGCCTGACTAACTTGTAACTACACAGAAAAGTAACACCTAAGACTATTATAAATAAAACAAGTTAGTGAAAAAAAATCTTTTTTCCCCATTTATTGTATTATTGTATGTCCCTAATAAAATATGGTCACCATTTTCCATTGTTTCCAACTGTAATGAAGCCACCCTTTCACTAAAGCCAGCATACCTCTCAACTTTAAAGCTTTCATGTGTGATATAAGCCACCAAAATGTATGATAAATGACCAAATGTAATTTGTGTGTTGCTGCCTACTGTACCATAAATGACACATCATCTTTTCTCATAATAGAACATTTTTTAAAAAAATGTTTCCTCATTGTGTGATGTAAATGTATGACCTTAGATTGTATTATAATTACATCTAGGAACAAAGAATGTAGGCAATTCGTGTAAGATTAGGGACTGTGTCCTAGAATGCAGTGACTTCAAAAAAAAAAGGACTTAGTGGTAATGATAGATTACCTTGGGAGCTCATGTTGGTTATGCTGTAGCTAAGATCGTGAACATGGTCCTTCCATGTATAAGAGGAGAAATATTAAGTAAGAGTAGAAAAGTGGTATTACCTCTGTATACAGAATTAGTGAGACAGTTACTGGAATACTGTGTAGAGTTCTGGAGTCCATACATCAAAAAGGACGTTGAAAAATTGGAAAGAGTTCAGAAAAAAGCTACAAGAATGATTCATGGTCTGAAAAACGTATCTTATGAAGCTCAATCTACTTTGATTAAGAGGTGACTTGATCACTGTCTACAAGTATCTACATGGGGAAGAGATTTCTGACTGTAGCTCTTTAGCTAGCAGAAAAAGACATAACAAAATCCAAGGCTGAAAGCTGAAGCTAGACAAATTCAAGCTAGGAATAAAGTACAAAATTTTTAACAGTGAGTGTAATTAACCATTGGAACAACTCACATAGAGACACGGTGGATTTTCTGTCACATGAAGCCTTTAAATCAAGAATGGATATTTATCTAAAAAATACGTTATAGCTCAAGCTATGGGTTTGATGCCAGAATTACTGGGTGAGATTCTTTAGCTTGTGTTGTGCAGGAGATCAGACTAGATACTTATAGTGGTCCATTCTGGTCTTAAAAATGTATCCATCTGGGAATATTAGATATGTGGGTTCTATTCCTAGTTCTGCTAAAAGGAACCTTATGCAATCCCTCAGTTAATTTATTACTGAAATGGGATTGCCCTGAGTCCAAAGGTAGGACTGCACAGGGTATAGATGAGATTTAAATTCATGATCTCCTGGCTCCCAGCTCTGAGTATCTTCTCATGGACTAAACAATATTTGGGTGGAGATGGGAACCTAATTCAGCTCAAACATTGTACATTTGAGAATTTGACTTGCCAGGTGAAAGTGAGGCTGCCCCTAGTAAGAATTGCTGCCTGTTAGCTCTTGTAAATTGGTTAGTCTCTAAGGTGCTACAAGTACTCCTTTTCTTTTTGCGAATACAGACTAACACGGCTGTTACTCTGAAACTTGTTTCTAATGAGACTGAATCACCGCTACCCTCAGGGAAGACAGCTACTTCCTATTTCCTATTATTAGGACACTGAGGAGACAGTCTATCCTGCAAACCTCAACTGAGCCAGGAAACACCGACCAAGATTCCAGTGGGAACGCAAGGGTTGGGAATTCTCTAGCCTCTGCCGACCTGTTACAACCTTAACAGGATACATTACATGAGAAAGCTGGATCCCATTGTACTGGAGTTAGAGCCAATAAAAACAGATGCACAGTTCGTCCCCTTTCCCAGTGCCTGCCCCTTACTTTCCCCCAAAAGTTGTGGAGTAGAACTTACTCCCTGTCAGAAAGAAGGAGAGAAATAAAGTAAGGAGACTGGGTTTCTTAACACCCAATAAATGAAGGCAGGGCCAGGGAGCTATAAGCACAGTATTCCTCAGATAACTACTATTTGAGTGCCTTTTCTGCTAAAAGTTACATGCGGTGGCTGAGAATTGTGCAGTATGGTACCTGAAAACACTGAGAACTCAGTGGTATCACTGTTTGAAGAAAAAGGATGATACTTTTAGCCAGACTAATTAAATCAATATATCTATGTGACAACTTGCAGCTGCTGGCAATCTGCAGATGGAGGTGGATCCTCTCCTAATATTTTTTGTGTGTGTGTTTTTATTTCTAAGGATCCTTGATATTGTCTTAGGGAAAATATTTTCCCCCAGAGATAACTATTAGAATGCTGTGTGACCATGTGACATTTAACATCAGTGTTACATCGTTAGACTAAAACGTGAGCAATATGTTTTCCACGGCACAATGTTGTCTTGGTGCCACAGGAGGCTGCAGAGGATTGTTTAAGTATCTCTGCTATATTCCTACTACTGTTTTGGTCACAGGCAAACACTCTCCAATGACTGTTATGCAATTAAAAAGGAATTTTCATACTAGTGCCGACTGCATGAATATATTATAAAATGAGAACGTTTGTGCCAACAACAATCTGTGTTGTCTGTAACTTTCTAAAACTTTCTCCATATTATGGAAGAACTTTGCATTTCAATATGAATTTTTCCCTAATTAGTCCAGTTTCTGCTTGATCTTAAGGTTGTGCTCATTTGATTGGCAACTGACTGATGCTACAAATCGATGAGTGCAGACATTAGAATTTCAGTGCAAGCATGATACAAGGTTTTCAAACAACCAAGTAACAAATCTTGATATCAAGGCAATTTTTAGGAAGTGAATATGGAGATTCATCACATTCAAAAAAATCTTCAGGTGCCTCTTCACTGAAGACTTGTCTCATTTCTAATGGAGTTGGCAGGACTACACTGGTCTAAATACAAGTAGTGCAGTGCATCTAAATGAGCCATTTGGTTTTGGGCGCAGCTGCCCAATGTCTACACCTGCAAGTGCTTCAGCTGCAACCCTCACCCAGCTACCTCTCTCACAGTCCCCCCTTGCAGTCCCTGTGGAAGCAGTTGCTTGTGGGAGATTTGACAGTCCAAGGGATTGTGGGAGAAGGGGGTTGTACTGCCCTAACTCTCTTGGAATCACAACCATTTCAGCAATGTATTCTAAATATAGAGCTGTGCTGAACAGACTGAGATTATTCTTTATTCAGAGAGAGAGAAATTTCTGCTAATGAATCACCTAGCATCTCAAGAAACCTAGAAGAGGGCATGGAAGATGTTCAGTCAAGCATGGGAAGAGGCAGAGACTGAGACCAGCAGTGTATGGAATTCATAGTGCGACTCACTAAGAGGCTCAGCCTGTTTAATCCTAGCCTAACAAGCCCAGTCAATTACTTGAAGGCAGCATTTGCCAGGCAAGTGCAGCTTTTGCATCAGAACCACGACAAAGTGGTGGGACAAAGATATTCCCAAAACATGGGTCTATCTTTGCATCGCCAACCCTCGCCCCCTTGCATTGTAGGAACATAAATAGGATATCTGGACCCAAACCACATCTGGATTTTGACAAGTTCTTGTATAGCCAAACTGTTTTGTTCATATTTACTTCTCGGTGTCCAGCAATGTTTCAGCAAATGTAGTTACCCCTCGATTCCACCCATTCTTAGCTTTTGGGTTTTATTTTGCTATTCTTTGATTGACATCTTCCTATCACATCACAGGTACAGTTTTAATTAACTACCCATCAGATTATACAAAGCCTGTAGCAACAGACCACTGTTTCCATTTCAGCCAAATCAAGGGTGACCCAAAGATTTTGCTTCTTCACTGTCTGACCATATGAAATCCCATTTTGCTTTACTTGGTCTTCTTTGCAAGTACTAGGTTCTCTGAACAGTATTTTTACAGGTTTCAGAGGAACAGCCGTGTTAGTCTGTATTTGCAAAAAGAAAAGGAGTACTTGTGGCACCTTAGAGACTAACCAATTTATTTGAGCATGAGCTTTCGTGAGCTACAGCTCACTTCTGTAGCTCACGAAAGCTCATGCTCAAATAAATTGGTTAGTCTCTAAGGTGCCACAAGTACTCCTTTTCTTTTTGCAGTATTTTTACAATGATTCCAAGTGTGTTTCAAGGCAGAGAATCATTCCTTGTGTACCTAGGTGATATTAAGACTAGGAGCAATTGTTCTGAAAATGCTAGAATTTAGTCTGGTTCCTAGACAACAGATGTCAGCAACTCTACAAGCCCCGAACTTTATAAAGATCTTTCACAGAAATGTCCATTCCCCAAAATAAAATTAAAAAAATAATAAAAAAGTCACGCTTTGAGATTTATTAAAACAAAATACTTTACCCACATAGAGCCCCTCTCAGAAGCAGAATGTTCAGTCTTTGAATGGACTGTTTCAGTTCCAGGCCCATGTGACTCATTTCCTGAATTCACCAGAAAGTAAGTGTGTCCAAGAAAACAGTCGTTATTCTGAGGATGAAGAGTGCTGTTGGCAAAGGGATTGGGGTGGCAACACCACTCCTCAACCAAAGCACTCCAGTTTTCACTTGGTAGGGGAAGAACTCTGAGAAACATCCTAATAGAGGAAAGAAAACAAGATATTTCAATCTATTACAACCATTTCTAAGGCACCTGTCATCAATGGGTCTGAACACTTAAAAAAAACCAAGCAAACATGAGATTCCCGCTAAAAGAAATAGCTGGCCTCCCCTCCTCCAGTAAAAGGCACTTACTTATAGGTGTTGAAGCCCATTGGATGAATTCTGAGAAGGCAATGGTAGTGACTCATGACAAGATTATTTGGGAAATGGCTGCATAAACAGGTGAATCTTACATCATGCCCAACAGGTGGAAAGACTCAGGCTCAGCCTGATCTCAGCGATTATACTACAGAAATTGGCATTGACAACTAGTGAAGTGAACCATGAGATAAAAATAAATACATCAAGTCATAGTCATGAAAAACATAATAATGTGCATTTTAAAAAACTCTCTCTTTAAAAAGTTCTCATCTCTCTCTTACATCAGACGTCCATGCAACATCAATACAGGTCTCTCTGCAGTATACACTCAGCAAGGTCAGTTATGTATTCTGAAGGCATTCCATGCTCACAGGGAGGCAATCAGACTTTCAAGCAAAACAAACCAAACAAAATAAAAAACGGTATAATGCTTTTACTTGCACTGGATAATGCAACCTGAAGTTAGACTCAAATTTAACTTGCAGAAGTCACACATGCCTCAAAATACCCTACTATATTTCTATATACTATATACATGATGCCTCAAAGCCAGAATACACACACACACACACACTGGTGTACAGGAACAATTCCATTTGTCTGAAACACCTACACACTATTTTCTTGCATACAGTTTCTGCTTTGAACATCTGGCCTATGAAATGAGAAACTTAAGATTTCTCTTTTTTTTTTTTAAATAGTAATTCTTCTCTTATTCCTCCTCGGTGCATGCTTTTATGCCTACTTTAATAAAAAGTCAAATATTTGAAATACAGTAGTTACTCCTTAAACCAATATAATCCAAACAAACATACAGAAAAATGTTTCAGAACATCTTTTTGTTTTTAAATGGTCATATTATCCACAACCTCCTAAGCCTGACCACAATTCCCCAGATGTGTTCCTCTAGTCCCACAGATGTGGTGTTCTTCTTAAGTACACAGAGCTATCAGTGGATTCCTTCACTCACTTACAGTGAAGAAATTCTACACTTTTGCCCAAATGCTGGACAATGGCGAGATGAACAGTTACTTCCACACTTCCCATGTCATTCTCTAGGCCAGCGGTGGGCAAACTATGGCCCGCAGGCTGGATCCGGCCCGTGGGATTGCCCCCCATGCTGCCGCAAGCCCCATGCCACTCTCAGAAGCAGACGGCACCATGTCCGTGGGGGAAGGGGGGGAATGGTGGCAGAGGGCCCTGTGCATTGCCCTAGCCTCCAGGCACCGCTCCCCACAGCTGTCCTAGCCCCAGTGCATGCTGCTGCCACCCAGAGACGCTTTAGGTAAGCAGCACCGGGACGGAGCCCAAACCCCTCCTGCACCCCGCCCCTCATCTCCCTGCCCTAAGTCCCCTGCCTGCACCTCGCACCCCTCCTGCAACCCCAACTCCCTGCCCTGAGCCCCGTCACACCCCGCACCCCTCCTGCACCCCTGCCCGGAGCCTCCTCCTGCACACTGCACCCCTCCTGCACCTCCTGCACCCCAACCCCCTTCCCTGAGCCCCCTCATACACCCCGCACCCCTCCTCTGCCCCTATCCCTTGCTATGAGCCCGTTCCTACACACTGCACCCCTCCCACATCCTGCACTCCCTCCCGCACCCCAACCCCCTGCCCTGCATACAATTTCCCCACCCAGATGTGGCCCTTGGCCCAAAAAGTTTGCCCACCCCTGCTCTAGGCTGTTTGTTACAAGATTTTGAGGCCATTCTTTGAGCTTCCTTGTGTGTTTTCCCTCATACCTATCTTTCTCATTCTGCTGCCTTCTATGTACAGTTTCTTGTCCCCTTACTTAAAGCCTGCACTTGCAGTTTTACCTGCTTTATCACTTTGAAAATTTATATGTTTTTTTCTAAAGTTAGCTCACAATCTCTGAGCAGATGCTCACATATTTTCCCATCGCTGCAGTCTACCACCACCATGTCTCTCATCAGGAGGTCTCTTAAGAGGCCAGTACTTTTTTGGGTACCTTCTTGTGCCTTCTGCATTCTTGTGCAGAAGTGAAATATTTCACAGGTTTCCGTCTTTCTAGATAACAATAAATTTCAGATTGTGTTAGCACCTTATCAAAATCAATATTGTCTGCAGATGAGAGCTGAAATATTGTAAAAATCTATTTAAAGGTCAGCTTGTGACACCGTGACACCCCATTATTCATTACTGTCATGTAATTAGGATCTTATACAAATTATGCCTTGTGAGGTGTCATTCTGAAAGTCTTGATCTGCCCAACAGTAATACTTCATTGGATTGTATGTGCTATTGTCGTATGTGAAGTAATGAAGTTTGGCTACATATGTGTTGCTGAAACATGTCCTGAGGTTGAAAACACCCACAAGCAGCCTTTCAGGTACAAGAGTAAAATGGCCAAAAATGTTAAAGGGTTATTGAGGAAATGCACACAAGCACAAGGATTACCCCAGAAACTGTGTACAATAAAAAACCTCTCAGAGGTAGCACTACACAATGGGAACAGTTTGACCCAGGTCGCAGCAAAAAAGCTTTCCAGCAAGTAGGGAGAAAATATAAAGGCGGAAAATGACATTCTGAGGGGACCTCACGCTCCCTGCAACAACACACCTAGAAACACCTGAGGAACAAAGACTAAACTGTGGGACGTGATGGTCCCAGGCTAGAAGGATTTTTAGCCTATGTATGAAAACCAGGGAAAGCTAAAGCAACTTGTGCCTTAAGAATCTGCCAGCCTGTTTATCACTCAGGGTAAGAATTTGCTAATTTATATCCTACCTATCTAGTGTGTGACGCTTAGTTTGCGGTTTTTGTTTATTTACTAAGGTAATCTGCTTTGTTCTGTTTGCTATCCCTTATTATCACTTACAATTTTCCTTTTGTAGTTAACAAACATATTTCTTGTTTATACCAAAACCCAGTTTGTGCAACTCATAACTTTGGGGAGGGTGGGGGTGGGGAGCTGTGCACATCTCCCTCCCTCACTTCGGGGGTGGGGGGGAGGAGCTGTGCATAGCTCCCTCCACATTGAGGGAGGGAGTGATTTTTATGAGCTTGCGCTGTGCAGATCCTTCTATACAGCGCAAGACAATATTATTTGGGGTTTATACTCCAAAGGAGGTGAGCATGTGAGTGCTGGGCAATCCCCTAGCTGAGTCCTCCCACAGAGAGCTGATAGCAGGCTCTATGTGATTCTACAGCTGGGTGTGTCGCTACCTGTATGTGTGCTGGAAAGGGGCTTGAGAACCTGTCAGAGCAACACAGATTAAGGGAAACACAGGCCGCTGGGAAGGTGGGCTCAGAGGTACCCCAGCATTTCTGGTGGCACCCTGAAAGGGGGGGGTCCAACCCATCACACAGCTATCCTTACAAACTCCGTAGTGTGGTTATGACAAGGCTTGGCAAGCCAGTCAATTGACCACCTATTATTTGACCACAGTCAAATACTGTCAAATGTTCCAGCATGAATGCCTTGATGCAGAAGGCGGCCTAGTTTTTTGATTGCATCATACATACTTCCATTCTCTCATTTTTTAGAACTTCATTTTATTGTGTTTGGCATTTTTCTGAGTTAAAATAACTTTAAGTAACTTTTTTTTTTTTAAAAATTAGGCATAAGTAACTTTCTAAGACTAAGCCTACTGGAGACCATCAAGTCTTACTGTTTTATTACTGTTCTAATAAGTTAGTGCTATAAAATATATGATCACTTTTAACATTATCTCATAATATTCAACCAATATTTGTCCCATCAGCTGACCAGTTATTTTGGGGCTTGCCACATGCCCTATCCTATCTTCCTTACTGCTCTCAGATCCGTCCACTCCTATTACTACATGGTGTTCTTTGCTTTACAGCAACAAGAGTTGTATTTAACAATTATATTTGTTTTCTTCAAGCATTACATAACAGAAACCAACAAAGCCTGCTGTAAACAGGCCCCGTCAATGTCTGATCTGCACCTGCAGTCCAGAGCCCCCACCTTGCCTTCCCAGAGACCTTTAGTCTCCACCAAGTACCCAACACAGCCTTACATAACAATAGCAGCTGCAGCATTGCCACAGCTTGCCTCATACAGGGGGCTGCAGAGCCCTCCTAAACAGGCCATCCTATGCAGAAATACAGCTTTTCTATTACATTTTGGGCCTTGTACCTGTCAATGGAAAGCCAGGATCTGGGCCCTTAGCTGTCTCTAGAACTCAATAACTGACATCAAATTAATGCAGCCCTAGTTCAGTTTTAGAAGAGTTTGAATTGTATTGAGCAATGATTCACTGAAGCCCATCTAATACAACAACATGGGCTTACTAGAGGTCCAGTCCCTCAATGGGACCCCACGCTATTGTAAGGCTCTACTCTTCCTATATTGGAAGAAGACTTTCAGATTTTCAGATTTTCTTCTCTCTTTTAATTTATATAATACCCCAAAACTGCAGTCCAACATTAACATTATTTTTTAGAAAGTATATATTAAAATCCTCTCTGTTGAAAATCTGTTTGCATTATAAAATTGAAAAATGAAATTGGATGACTTTATGTAGACTACCCCGCCCCAAAAACCCTCATTGAATTTAGAATATACCTTTCTTTAACATAAATTACGTAGTCAGATGTTTGCTCTACACATAAAATTTGGAATTCAGTCATAACAGTAAATGTAATGCAATATTAAAAAAACCCCTCTATTCTGCATTTGATTTTTCAATGCACATATAAAGCACTTTTGTAGCAAAAATAATTTTTTGGCCTAATGGAAAGGGCAATCTCCTTAAAAGATAATTCATGAAAATTAATTTAAATTACATTCTGGTCTGGTCTCTGAAAGCTACTGAACAACAGAAGCAAAGCCCTGAAAGGCGTACTTCTTATCTATAACCTCCTCTTCTACAGTATAAGCAGGAGAAAAGAAAGAAGCATCCTGAAATCTCTGCAGCTTTCAAGCCATGGAAAAATCTGACAATCTTCCCTCCATTGGGTCATATGGAAGGGGCAGAGGGCATGATTCTGTATCTCTGGAGAGCCATGAAACTCGTGGAAAGAATCAGGCTCTAACTCAGTGGATCTCTGATCATCTGCAAGAAAGACCTGCCCTCCACACAGCTCTGCAACCTTCTTTCCCCCCTCAATCTATGTTATCACAAGCTGTCATACATCTGCACACTACCCCTCTCTCTGGTGAGGCCAAAGCCAGAGAGAACTAACGTTGTTTCTAACAGCATTAACTATAATACTGACTTCAGCTTGGAAATAAGGCAGTGTGGGAAAGGAGAACACCAGATACAGTGGCAGCTACCCTGCTCCATCCTGCCATACCTTCCAGATCTGTGTAGCCCAACCAAGCACCAGAGGCTCCCTGAAAGGAGAAAAGCATGGCGGAGAGCCACTGCCACGCCCCACACACTTCACCCTTTTATTCCAATTTGACCTCCTGTGTGCTCATGCGTAGAGAAGAGTGCAGTATCCATTCATATGCACATAGTAAATTAATTAAAATTTGAAACAATGTTTATTTGGGGATATTGCCTCTATATAAATCCATGATATGCTCACATCTTGTATACGATACAGATGTGGTTGTCTTGTCTCAAAAAAAAAAAAGAGAGAGAGATTCTGATTGGAAAAGGTACATAAAAGGTACACCAAATGAAATTAATAGGCAGCAGGTTTAAAAACAAACAAATGGAAGTATTTCTTCACACAGTCAACCTGTGGAATTCCTCGGCAGAGGATGTTGTAAAGGCCAAGACTATAACAGGGTTCAAAAAAGAACTAGATAAATTCGTGGAGACTAGGTCCATCAATGCCTTTTAGCCAGGATGGGCAGGAATGGTATCCCTAGCCTCTGTTTGCCAGAAGCTGGGAATCAGTGACAGGAGATGGATCACTTGATGATTACCTGTTCTGTTCATTCCCTCTGAAGCACATAGCACTGGCCACCGTCAGAAAACAGGATACTGGGCTCGACGGACCTTTGGTCTGACCCAGTATGGCCGTTTTTATGTTCTTACATTATGCAGCTTTTATTAAGATACAACATATAAAACTGTATTGCTTACCGTTCTTTTATTATGATTTCACCACAAGATTGACAGTAAAAGATGCAACTCTTCTGCGCTTTCAGACTTTCACTCAAAGTTGAAATTAATTCTACAGATATTAAAGAGGACATAATAAACATCAAGTTCCTGTTCAATCTACATAAATTTGCACATAAAAAAACTGGGTATCTACTCATTAGCTCCAGAAAGCTAAGATTCTAACTACTACAAGCAAGAAGAAAAATATTGACATTCCACACACCAAATTCTTTGTACACTTCTGCTTACAAGAAGAGAACAGGCAAGCAGAGCTGAAGGAAGACCCATATTCACACCATATCTAGCATTTACTGTAATGTATACATGCTGTATTTGAATAGTCATTTTTAACAGTTTTGCAAGCTTCATGTTGGAGGAGCTGAAGTTGTGTCAGGATCAAGAGGATCCTTTTAAAGTTACTTTTAGATCAAATTAAGTCTTAACCCTGTTAACATAAGCTCTACTGATCTCTGGCTTTGCTGTGTGTGGTACCTCCCTTAATTTACCACACTAGATAGTTGGCAGGGGGTGGGGGAAGGGGGGGGAGGAGGAGCGCAGGAGAGAAAGAACAATATTCTAAACTGTCAACAAGGTACAGGTATATAATATAGCAACAAAATATGCTCTCTCTCAAAGAAGAAAAATGACAGTTTCCAATACAGCAATACCCTCTGCTGGCCAGCAAAGAGAAAAACACTACAACTAAAGCCAGTTCAGACAGCATATTTTCCCAGTTATAACAGAGAACTAAAAATAATCAATAAATATGACTGAATCAAGACAAAGCTACGTGTATCATTGTGGACAAATGAATTTGAACTTATCTGATGTGACGCAGAAGTAGCCAGCATATGCCACATTTTCAAAACTGGAGCCCTAAGTTGCCATAGTGAAAAATTAGGGCTGTCAATTAATCGCAGTTAACTCACATGATTAACTCAAAAAAATTAATCGCAATTTAAAAAATTAATTGCGATTAATCGCACTGTTAAATAATAGAATACTAATTGAAATTTATTAAATATTTTTGGATGTTTTCTACATTTTAAAATATATAGATTTCAATTACAACACAGAATATAAAGTGTACAGTACTCACTTTATACTTATTACAAATATTTTGCACTGTAAAAGAAGAAATAGTATTTTTCAATTAAATTAATACAAGTACTGTAGTGCAATCTCTTTATCATGAAAGTTGAACTTACAAATGTAGAATTATGTACAAAAAAAAATAAGCAAAAAGAAAAGGAGTACTTGTGGCACCTCAGAGACTAACAAATTTATTTGAGCATAAGCTTTCGTGAGCTATGAAGTGAGCTGTAGCTCACAAAAGCTTATGCTCAAATAAATTTGTTAGTCTCTAAGGTGCCACAAGTACTCCTTTTCTTTTCGCGGATACAGACTAACACGGCTGCTACTCTAAAAAAAATAAGTGCATTCAAAAATAAAACAATGTAAAACTTTAGAGCCTACAAGTCCACTCATTCCTACTTCAACCAATCGCTCAGATAGATAAGTTTGGTTACAATTTGCAGGAGATAATGCTGCCCCCTTCTTGTTTACGTCACCTGAAAGTGAGAACAGATGTTAGCATGGCACTTTTGTAGCCAGCATTGCAAGGTATTTACGTGTCAGATATGCTAAACGTTCGTATGCCCCCTGATTCTTCGGCCACCATTCCAGAGGCCATGCTTCCATGCTGATGTTCGTTAAAAAAGTAATGTGTTAATTAAATTTGTGACTGAACTCCTTGGGGGAGAATTTTATGTCCCCTGCTCTGTTTTACCCTCATTCTCCCATATATTAGCAGTCTCGGACGATGACCCAGCCATGTTATTCATTTTAAGAACACTTTCACTTCAGATTTGACAAAACACAAAGAGGGTACCAATGTGAGATTTCTAAAAATAGCTACAGCACTGGACCCAAGGTTTAAGAATCTGAAGTGCCTTCCAAAAGCTGAGAGGGATGAGGCGTGGAGCATGATTTCAGAAATCTTAAAAGAGCAACACTCCAATGCGGAAACTACAGAACCCGAACCACCAAAAAAGAAAATCAACTTCTGCTGGTGACATCTGACTCAGATAATGAAAATGAACATGCATCGGTCCGCTCTGCTTTGATCGTTATCAGCATGGACCCATGTCCTCTGGAATGGTGATTGAAGCATGAAGGAACATATGAATCTTTAGAGCATCTTACACATAAATATCTTGCAGCACTAGCTACAACAGTGCCATGTGAACACCTGTTCTTGTTTACAATGTCACCTCAAAGAGAGAAGTGGGCAGCATTATCTCCTGAAAATTGTAACCAAACTTGTTTGTCTGAGCGATTGGCTGAAGTAGGACTGAGTGGACTTGCCAGCTGTAAAATTTTACATGGTTTTATTTTTGAAGGCAGTTTTTTGGTACATAATTCTACATTTGTAAGTTCAACTTTCATGATAAAGAGATTGCATTATAGTACTTGAATTAGGTGAATTGAAAAATACTATTACTTTTGTTTTTTACAGTGCAAATACTTGTAATCAAAAATAAATAAAAGTGAGCACTGTACACTTTGTATTCTGTGTTGTAAAATCAACATTTTTGAAAGTGCAGAAAACATCCAAAAATATGTAAATATATGGTATTCTATTATTGTTTAATCACTTGACAGCCCTCGTTATTTTCTCACCTTGTTTTTCTCTCATACGTTTGAAATAACTTGTAAAGTCTCAGATTACCTGTAACCAAAAATTATATTTTCTGAACAATGGCCTTGATTTTCTTCTTCTCAAGGAATTTAGTATACGGTGACTAATCAAAGGAAAACAAAATAATTGGTCACCCTTACTTGTATTTGAATCTGCTTGAACTTGCAGCCTCACATGTAAACCATCTCCAGCTATATACTGTAGTCCTCGACAGGAAGAAGGAACAATCCTGACCTCTGCAGGAAAGTTGATCATCTTGCAGGCTTGACAACTTTTTATCTCTAATGATCCTGGAGCCACTGTAATATCCACTGGCAAATTTCCTGCATTTGGCTCACTAGAGATTTAAAATACACAAATTTTTATAGCAGTTAAAAAAAAAGCTTTACAATGAGGGTTTAGTAGTCATATATAATGTTGACTTGTTTAAGCAAACAAATTTTCTCAAAGTTGAAATGCTTCTGACTTTTATTTATTTAAATTTTGTGTCTATGGATGATGCAATGTTTTGTTGAGTCCAACATTAAGAAATGTATATGGATTAAAACCAAAAATGAATGCATGCTTTTCTACAATCCACAAATATTTGTCTCCAAATTAGTACAAAAAAGATTTATTTATTGGGAAATAAGACAGCAATGTAACGGTTTTTCTTTAACCTAAAATCATGAAACAAACTGTAAAGGAAGACATAGTTTTAACTGTCAAAAATCCCAGTCGCATATCAGAATCAAAATTACACAAAAATGAGAGACTGTAAGATGTTTACATGTTTAAAAGATAATGTGGGAGGGGCCACAATAATTATAAATAAAATGTCCAGTCTTGCTCCCATTTAAATCACCAGCAAAATTCCCATCAAATTGCATGTGGCTAGAACTGGGTCCAAAGTATCTGAATCCCTTGAACTCATAAAATTCCCACTGAACCTTCAGAGTAGATTAAAACTAGAAAAGGAAATGGATCAGTTCCTAATGTTAATAATTACCTGTTCGCAGACAATACTATCAGGGAGGCAGAAAAATTAGTTAATTAGAAGAAACCAACACATTTAAATGTGGAAACTGTATCTTCTGGAAATCACAGAGGAAAACGTCACTTTTAATACTTTCTGTATAGGTTTGATGAGCCTTTGAAACTCACTGGGCCAACTTTTTCCAAGATTCATAGCAAGCAGTATGATATTCATTCATTTTCATCCACATTTTATTACATATGGAATGCATTTTGCTGATTTCTGCAGTCAAGATATTGAACTTCACAAATCAGGTACAGTGCCCACATAGTAGATTTTCAGAGTAACAGCCGTGTTAGTCTGTATTTGCAAAAAGAAAAGGAGTACTTGTGGCACCTTAGAGACTAACCAATTTATTTGAGCATAAGCTTTTGTGAGCTACAGCTCACTTCATCAGATGCTTATGCTCAAATAAATTGGTTAGTCTCTAAGGTGCCACAAGTACTCCTTTTCTTTTTGCATAGTAGATTTTGAAGCATTTGCAGATGTTATTGTTGAAAGTTACTTATGTATTTATTGAGGGAGGGGAAGGCGGGCAACAGGTTTATTTGCACTATGAAGTTTGGAATTCAAAGAATATATGAAACAGAATCAGATAAATTACCTCAGTAAATACATGAACACCATCTAAATATTTTTCAGTTTACATGTAATGATTTTTAAGATTAGAAATTACTTTAAGAGTAAAATTAGAAACTATAAAAAGAAAAGGAGTACTTTTGGCACCTTAGAGACTAACAAATTTATTTGAGCACAAGCTTTCATGAGATACAGCTCACTTCATCGGATGCATTCAGTGGAAAATACAACGGGGAGATTTTATATACACAGAGAACATGAAACAATGGGTGTTCCCATACTCACTGTAACGAGAGTGCTCAGGTAAGGTGAGCTTTTGCGGATACAGACTAACAGGGCTGCTACTCTGAAACCCATTGGAAACTATGACTGCTTTGTGAGATTAGGCGGTGCTGGGATAGCAGCTGTGCATGCACAAGGGGAATGGTGAAGGAGTGTGACTAGGTAACCACCAGCCCAGCAACGTAAGGAGCGTTGGGTGCATCAAAATGCCAACAGGACAGTAAAAGTTGGGGGGGGGGGGGGAATGCACGTTCTTGTCATCCAAGCGGTTGCACCTGAATCACCCCCAGGCTCCCCACCATGCCCCCAAAAGCCCCGTGAGCAGGAGCTACTGAGCAGGCACAGCCAGGCAGCAAGGTAAGGGGCTCGGCCCCGCGCAGAGAGAGGGACGCGGACAGAGCCGCTCCTGTGCAATACCGGATAATCAGCAGCCCGCTCTGCATCCTCCGCCTGATCTCCAGGAAAGCGGACTCCTCCATGTGGGCGCCGCCGGCAGCTCTCTGCCCGGGCCCCTGCTGTTACGGGGCTGCGGGACGCCCCTGGAGCTCGCCCAGGCCACTCCCGGTCAAGCCGGCCGCCGGTGAAGCCACGTGCAGAGGGGACGGTCTGAACCCAGCCCAGCCCAGGAAGCTCTTTCCCCGAGGCAGGCGCAAGAGCAGAGCATGCTTGTGCCGCCCTCCCTGCCGCCCCACACAGCGCCCTCTGGAACTGCAGCGCCCGCCCCGCGCGCCGCACAGAGATAAGAGCCTCCCGCAAAGCGGACTTCGCCTCTGGGAAGTGCCCCGCTATCCCATCCCAGTAACAGAGAGAGCTGTTCTTGCTCCTAGTAGCCAGCTTTGCGTGCCACTAGTTACTCTGTTCTGCCAGTTGAGTTACCCACCTGCTGCAAGACCAGAACATATTGATTGCTCGGCTAAGAAGTGCTGCTTCCCCTGAGTATCCCCAATGACCCTGCTCAGGAAGGAAGGGGTTGCCGGAATTAAACTTGTGTTTATAATGCCCCCATATAAGTTTACAGCGCTAGAGAAATGTTTTATAACAACAATTAAATCCCAATTTGTTTTTAAGGACATTGGAGGGAGAAGGAAGGGAAGTTTCTTCTTTGCCTAAACAGAGTAGCCAACTTTTTTTTTTAAATGCAAGTCTTGCATATGTGGTGTTTTTCTTAAAAAAGGGGCTCCTATTACTCCAATTTTTTCTCTTTTCTATATCTAGCAGCCTGCCAGTGGGCTAAGTCCTGCTCCCTCTGAAGTCAATGGGCTTAGTTTTGGGCCCTATGTTTTAACTTCCTCCGGTTGGTTTGCCCCCCCCCCCCCCCCATAAGCCACTTTTAATTCTTTTTACATGTTTGATTTTCTTTAAAATACTCTTTTTAAAAATCTCCTTTCCTTTTGTGATTTTACTTTCTTCTCCAATATTCATCTTCAGTGTTCTTCTCTCGTTCTCTCCAGCTCTTAGGCCCCAATCCTGCAAATAAATGAACATGAATATCTTCACATATGTATGTAGTTCCACTGAATTGAATGGGACTACTCACATGTGTAAAGTTATTCACATGCATAAGTACTTGCAGGATCAAAGCAATAGTCCTCTCTCTGCTCCATTTCAATCCCAGCAATAACTTCAATTTATAGAGACTACGACCAAAAGAGACTAATTCTAACCTCCTCTATGTCACAGGCCATTACATTTTGAAGGGCCAAAATCCATTTGCTCTGGATGTAAAATCTTGACTACAGTTTCTGCTAAGAACTTTTCATATAGGTCCAGATGAAGACTAGCTAACAAAGAACAATATATAGCTAAGAGAAAGCTGGAGTAAACAGATAACCTTGTGTATTTCAAGCCAATAAGCGTAGTCCGCATAACTCCAAATGTAATCGGGTGTCCTTATCGCAAGTTATAGACACATGAACCACTGAGAAAGGCCTCCTGGTTACTCCCTAAGGCAGGGTGGAGATAGTGATACAATACCCCTCAAATCCCCGACAGAGTTTGGGGAGAGGATTGACATGAGTTATGACACCCACCCCTCACAGATGTATGCCAATCCTAGCCCACAGAAATGAAAGGGTAAACTCAGAGGTGAAAGTAAGTCAGTACACCCTGGTATGGCGTACCGGCAAGAGCTGGTGCACCATACTGGGGCAGCCCGGCTTCCCCAGGGAGCAATTTAAAGGGCAGTGGCTGGAACCCCAGGCCCTTTAAATTGCCTCCAGAGCCCCGCTGCTGGAGCTCTAGGGTAGTGGCTGCGGGGCTCCAGTGGCTATTTAAAGGGACCGGGGCTCCCCTGTTTCTACTGCCCCAGCCCTTTAAATAGCTGCTGGAGCCCCGCCACTGCTACTCCAGGGCTCCGGGAGCTATTTAAAGGACTGGGGCGGTAGAAGCAGGGGAGCCGCAGGCCATTTAAATAGCCCCCAGAAACCTGGGGTAGCTTCCCCAGGGCTCCAGCAGCTAATTAGAGGACCGAGGCAGTAGAAGCAGGGGGCCCTTTAAATAGCCCCCAGAGCCCCAGGCTGCTGTTGCTACCCTGGTGGGGGAGGAGGAGGATGAGAAGGAGGGGGGTACTTACCTTACAGGGTGGGCTGGGGCTGGCTCTGACCCCCTCAGCCCCGCCCCTTCTGCCCTAGGTCCCGCCCCTTCCAGGAGCCAGAGCTGGTCCCCGCATACCTGTAAGTCACTCGACTTACTTTCACCCCGGGTAAACTTGTAAACAATTGTTATTGTTAAGTACTAATTACTGCTTTTTTGCTTTAAATTTCCAGGAATGTACCTTTGGTCAACTGGGAGAGCGGCTACCTCATTCCCCTGGACCCCAAAATTAGGATTTAACCTATACACTTTAATAGAAATAGTTTGGGGGTAATTACCTGTGTGTCAGCAATATATTAATTTGGGCGGAGCCATTATGTAAACTTTTAGACCACTGGCTTATTGTGCTTATCTTGTCTTGCTGCTAGAACCTATCCAGGGGCTTGGGAAATCCATTTCAATCGCTTCTTTCTGCCCAATGAGCACCCCGTATAATCTATTGTAATTAATTGTTCTGCAGTGTCTCTGAGCCTAATAAGCAAAGTGACACTCCACCAGCGCTGTACGAAATAAACTCCTGTGCTTGACTCTGCATGGTGTGGATTACTGTTCCTTCAAATTTCGCCCCAGTATGCCCCTATTGAGCCCAATAACTTGTTAAATAGCTTATGTTTGGCTAAAGCATATCTTCCAGAAATGCATCTAGTCTTGATTTAAAGACCTCACGAGATGGAGAATCCACCTTTTCCCATGGTAATTTGTTCCAATTGTTAATCACTCTCACTGATAAAAATGTGTGCCTTCTTTCTAATTTGATTTTTTTCTGTCTTCAGCTTCCCAACATTGGTTCTTGTTAGCCTTTCTCTGCTAAGTTAAGGAGCCCTTCAGTATCTGACATCTGTTTCCTGATGAAGACACTTCTACACTGTAATCGAGTTATGTCTCACTCTTCTTTTTGATAAACTAAACATACTGAGCTCTTTAAGCCTCTCATGGTAAGGCATTTTCTCTAGTCCTCAAATTATCTTTGTGGCTTTCTTCTACACCCTCTTCAATTTTTCAACATCCTATTTAAAATGTAGATGCCAGAAATGGACACAGTATTCCAGTATTTGTTTCAACCATGCCATATACATATACTCCTAGATATCTGTGTTGCTCTCCAAAATGGATGAACAATAAAAGGGTGAGTAGGTCAAAGTGAATTTAACTTCAAATGCAGGTGAGTTGACAGCTAGTAAGAATATAATTTGTAAAACAGAATTTGGGGCTCTGTTTGACTTTCTCAGGGGATAATGGGTAATCCAAAAGAGAAACGCAGAGTCTTCACCACCCTAAGCTCTGTTTTCTTAATGATTTGCCCAGAGCAATGTCTGACAAGTACAAAACCTGATCTATTCATGTCACAAACATCACCTGTATAAATGTTTTGTATAATACAACATTAGTGCAACGATTCTTTTCCATCTATGTGTGAATGGAGTACAGTTCACATTTGTCAGTGGTGGTAATTTGTGGAAATGATAGACGAAGAAATATATTTTTTATTTCAGAAATGCCTATATGGTAATTTTATGTGCAGTCCCCAGCCCAGTCACCAGCACTTCCAGAGCCTTTACTCCCTCAGCTTCTTCACTGTCGCACCCGGGGACATGATGTCCTGAGGCCCTGCCCTGCCCTTCCTCTCCCTTTGCCAGAGCTGCCTGGGTCTCCCAGGCCCTCTCCCATCCTGGGAGAGCGAGGATCAATGAGCGTGCAGCCTCCAGCCCCGCCAGGCTGGGCACTCTGCTCACTGCGAGCTGGGCTCTGCAGAGTCCAGCGGCCTCTAGCGGCAGTCAGAAATTCTGTGGGGGAAACAAGGAATTCTGCAAAACTCTGCATTCTGCAGTGGCGCAGAATTCTCCCAGGAGCAATTTAATGTAGCAAGACAAAGGTGGGGAGAAATGCATGATACATTGGCTCTTCTGCAATTACTAGTCAAGGACATTTACTTTTTAAGAAATAGTACTTTTTTTAGAGTTCCCTTCTCTTTTAAAAACATGTTATGAAATGAACACACTCATTTTATGTTATTAATTTTTTTGTGTACAAGCTAACAAAAGGATTAAAAGTCAAAGAGTTAGGCTGCAAATTTTATTTAAACAGGTACACACATATGTGGCAATACACCTTCCTGCACAAAGACACACAGTCTCTTACACACCCACACACAAATACATACAATGAATGCATACACACACTTGTCTACACAGAGACATTTTTTCATACACTTTCTTACACACAAGGCATAGACAACAGACCTCCCCTACACGGACACACAAACCAATGCACATTACACAATAGAGCACGTACACACGCTTCCCCTACACGGACACACAGCGTGCATACACACACTTCCCTACAGTCATGCATTCCGGGAATGCCCCCATCCCTCCCCCCGCTCCACAGAGACACGCTCCCTCACACATGCACCCACGCTTCCCTCCCCAGGGGGCAGAGCGCTGCGCTGCCTGAGGCCCGGCAGGGGGCGCTGTGGCGCAGGAGACCTGAGGGGAGGAGGGGTGGAAACGGGAAGCCGCGCTGCATGCTGGGAGCTGTCAGCGGCTGCTCCGGTGTTTTCCGCTGTCGGGCTCTTCCGGCTCTTGTCGCCCAGGTAACCAGCCCCTTGTCCCGGTCGCGTTACCGGGCTTGGGAACCGCGCGCTGCTTCCCTTCCCTCTCCCCGGTTTGTGCCGCTCGGCGCGTCCCGGGCCGGGGGCGCGGATGAGCTGGAGGCCGGAGCGGCCCTTTCCCCTCCCGGCCCTGCCTCGGCGAGCGGAGAGGGCGCTGGGGACGTGCGCGGCCCGGCCCGGCCTGGACCGCCAGACGAGGGGGGCTCTCCGGACACCGTCCTGGGGCTGGGGCCTTTGCTATTCCCCCTCGCGCCACAGCCGGCAGCCGGCGCCCCCCTCGGCCCCCCCCCCGTTTTGGGTGTCCCCCTGTCCCCGCTCCTCATCCCTAATCCTCTCCGCCTGGGTGTTTCACCCTCCCTCTCCGCCCCCTTTGGATGCCCCGTGACCCCCCCCCCCGCCCTGG